CCCGTTTGAACTAATAAAGTGCCAGGGGCCTAAGTGGTCACCTTAATATTAAAAAAAAAAAAATATATATATATATATATATATATATATATATATAAATATGTATATATATAAATATGTATATATATAAATATATATATATATTGCGATATACAAGTAATATTGTAACAAACTAAACTTAAAAATTGTAAAAATAAATGCTTTAAAATTTACATACAAAATTTATTAACAACACACACTTAAGTATAAGATAAAGCCATATGAAAAACATATCAAATAACACTAGATAAAAAAATTCTGTATTAAATTAATACCATCTTCTGAAAAAAATACAAAATATAATAGCTTAAAAAACCCATAACTTGAACGTAAATCAAAACACAAATACAAAATAACAATCGAAAAAACAAACAGAAAAAAAAAATGTAAAAATAAATAATTATCACAAAAAATAACAAACTCTACATAAACTCGGTAAGTTATTATTACACATAACACACGATAAAACTATTCTATAACCTATTAAAAAACTATCAACTAAACAATAAATAAACGTACATAAATAATAATAAGCAAACACATCCGGTCATAACTCAAAGATAAACATAACTGAAAATTTATTTACAATAAAAATAAAAATATAAGCAAATAAAAATCATCCAAATACTTAAATAGAAACAATATACTCAATATTCTCACTAACAATATCGCTAATTCAAAACTTATATAATTTCAGACTATTATGCAAAGAACGACCCACATAATCTTTTCCCTTCTTACCACCACAACTAGCATTTCTCGCACTATCCACACATTTTAATGCACCTTCAACCTCATTAGCCTGACCCTCACCAAAATTATCGACAACATCAGACTAAACATAATCATCATTATCCACAGAATCTAAAACATTAGTAGATTCGATAGATTCATTATCATTTTCGACTCTAACACGTTTAGAAGAATTACTATCAGACAATAATACACCATCAGTCAAAACTGCAGATGATGATTCCTCAACCTTAGAAATATCTTTAGAATCCTTAGAATTCTCATAAATATTTCGATGAGTAGAAAGAATTTTTGACCAAATCATACTAACAACCTCTGTAGAACTACTAGAACCACTATCATCAAAATTTTTATGCTTTAAGAAACCAACATCAACAAAATTGACATCTTTTGCATAAACATAAAAATCATTATCAACGACCTCCATTTGGCCAACAACAAAAACAAGCGAATCGTGCGGACGAATAGTACTCTTCAAATGCGCAAGCTGAGAATTAGAATGTGGGAAAACAACTTTAACTGTGAAATTATGATCTTGAATAGCATAATCATTAACCAATATATTAAAAATAGCATTTTCATCATTTTCTGGTACTTGGGG